AGTGCCCACTGAAGTGGATCTGTTCAGGTTATAGATCCATACCATGAGATGTATTATATGAAAGGATTCATTTAAAGGCTTAATTGGTTGCAATCCATTAACGAGATCACAATTGACTCAAATATACGGTAATGACTACTATTGGCCGACACTAGGAATCGTTATAACTTTAGACGTCTGGTGCCTATAATTGCGACCAAACATTTGCGTTGATTTTATCCCGATGTCAGTCATTGATGTCTTTTGCAATCACTTCATAACATTCGTAATCTTTTGGGACTGTTGTCCACACAATTCAACCAATAATCAAGAAATCTATTATTGATTCTCATTGAAGGTATCGAAGAGACAATATTATAGAAGTGAACATTTGTTTCATTTTTTTAGTGAATTTGTATATAAATGATAATCATTCAAAACAATGAACATTTGCACCACATTTAGTAAATATTGTTTGTATTTTTTTGGTGTTAAGTGACATTCAAATTGTCATTACAAGTGTGTAAATATATATTTATATAATTTACTAATTATTTTTAATTAAAACTTTGAATTGAAAACGTTTGAAATGAAATTATTTAAAACATATACCGAGACCGGCATTGTAAGTACTTACGAATTGTGTGCAATACACCAAGTACAGTTAACTCAGTATATAATCAATGAAGGTTTCTCATATTATTACCCGATTGATATAGACACTAAAGCAGTGCAAAAACGGTGCATTGATCACAGAAAAAATAATATATAATTATTAGAAATATTAAAATTGTGTTGAAAGTAATGAATCAAACATTACTTTTATGTAAAGTTAAGTTTTTTTTCTGTGACTAATGCACCGTTTTTGCACTGCTTTCGTGTCTTTACCGATTGAATAACACCATCACTTTTGTTCTCTTTATTATCATATGACTCAGTTATTATACTTTGTTACACAGTTCATAAAATTTACATTTTATATGAGAAACCCTTATTAATTATATACTGAGAGTTAACTGTACTTGGTGTATTGCACGCAATTCGTAAGTACTTACAATGCCGGTCTCGGTATAGAGTTCGGTATTAATTAATTAATTAATTATTAGTAATACAGAAGTGAACATCAAATAAAACCGACAATAAATTAAAGATAATTGAATTCTTCGTGATTAATGTATGTAATGGTGAAGTGGTATCACATGATCTTCTTCTTAGTCGCGGTATACCTCTCCATATAAGACTCGTAACCGTTTAAGTGGTGAATGTCTTTCAACTCAAAGAGATTGCCGTCCACTGCCAACAGCGATATCTTCGTGTTCTTCAGCATATTCTCGGTTATGGCCGACAATTGCAAACAGTTCTCGTCCAGCCTTAAGATCTTGAGTTTGGGACACTCGGCCACCGACTCGGAGAGCACTGATATCTGGTTTTGATTCAGATTCAGTTCCGACACAAACAGGTGCTTCACTTCGTCGGGCACTTCAGTGATCTGATTGTGGGATAAGTCGAGGAAATCTAGATGTTTGAGACCCGCGAAGACTGTGGGAAATGCAGTCAACTGGTTGTTGGCCAACATCACTGACCGCAGGTTCACCAGTTTGGCCATCGATGGCGGCAACTGTTTGATGGCGTTATCGCTGAGTGACAGCACTTCCAGTCGCGCCAATTGGCAAATCTCTGGCGGCAACGAAACCAAGCGATTGCTGACCAGCGATAGGCTCTTGAGTTGTTGGAAGTGTGCGATCATCGGTGGTATTGACCGCAACTTATTGTAGGAGAGGTCGAGTGTCCGCAGGTTTGCGGCCAAACGCGACAAATCGGTGGGGAATTCAGTGAGACTTGTTTTGGTCAACTGAAACACTCCACTCCTCTCGGCGTTTGACATATGGCTCTTCAGACTCGATGTGTTGCCCATTGTCTCAGAGGTCTGTCCACACAATCCTTGTCCGCAAACCCGGAGTTTATGTCCAAAAACCACTTGTTTTGCTCTCAAAATACAAGAATCAAAACAATTTACACATTAATAACGTCTAATAATTTGCATTAAATGTATTGAAAATTGTATTTATTTTGCGAAACGTTTTGTTTGAATGAATTTATGGCCAAAATTGTGTAAAATATTGTTTTTGTAAACAAAACTGGTTTTGGTTTTTGGTTTTCATCTCATATTTTGCGGACAACTCTTTGCGGACAGAGTTTGCGGTCTCTTTTGGTCTATAAATCGGTGATCAATATCTGGACAACCGATGGGTCAGGCGTTGAGTCAAAGAACCAGTCGTTGGGATTTCCTGAAGAAACCCGAATGGGGTTTCCCGGAGAGCACTACCGGACCCGATCAGCCCCGACCCCCCACTCCAGGCATGCACTTCCCTCCCGGCGCTCACATACCCGACTATCGCGCCTACAAATGGCAAGACATCCCACAACTGGTGGACGTCCAGAAGAAGTTGGCCGCCAGAGGGCTGAAGGATCCGTGGCTCAGGTATGCCCTCAACCCCTATATCTCATGTATAGCCGCATATGTGTGGCCAACACCTGCTTTAGACCCTAATGTATTTGTGTCGTGTCTGGCCATTAGGAACGAGGTGTGGAGGTATGAGCAGAAAATGCACGGCACTTATCGGTGGCGGTGGTGGGGGTTAATAGCGCCGGGAATGCTGTACGGGTTGGCGATGTTCTCAGTGGTCGTCCTCTGCGAAGAGACTATACTCAAGAAGAAGGACAGCGGACACGGCTCTCACCATTAGGTGCCGATCATTAACGGCTCTCCGATCGCCAATTGATTAGTAATTTTAGTCTCAATTTTGCCTCAAATTAATTATTAGTTGACATTAATTGTATAGAAAGTAATGTATATTTCAATTGAATTAATAAAACTTTTTTCTGCTGTGAAAATGAATTTGATTTTATTATTTATTTATATAAATATGAAATGCATTTATAATAGGAATCTATTTTTATACATTTAATTAAAAAATAAATCACAAAATAAGTGTTTGTATGTGTTTTTCAGTGTCTGAATAATTAGCTGCAAATCAATTGAGAAAATATCCAAAATAACACATAAAATAATGGAAACCGAAAACTAAATAAAATCAAAATATACTCTAAATTATAATCACAAAACAAGTTATAATAATAATAATACTGTTCAGTAAAACAATTGTAACGACAGAAAATATTTGGTGAAAAAACAAACAGAAATATAAGTGTAAACTAAACGATAACAATGATAAAGGCTGTGAAACCATCAAAAGTTTCCTTTCAAAGTGTCGATATATTTTGTGAATTTTAATATTTCAGTCAAGATTTGTTACGATATATTTTGGTCATAAATTCGTATAAATGCCATTGAATTCACATTGAAAATCAATTTTAAGAACATTAATCACAAGTAAGGCATTAAATAAAAAGCACTACAAAATATAGTTTGATATCTGGTTTTGTCTTATTGTATACATTATATTAATGATTGATTAACACTCTGATTGTCCTGTGGCTCGTTCTTCGGCTTCGATCAACTTCATGAGGGTTTCCTTCAGGACTCGATACCTGATGAAGACTTGTGCCAAATGCTCCTTCTCTTCTCTGTCCAGAATTTTGATGAAATTATTCAGTTCTGGGATCTCGAAGGCGTCCCAAGCGATGTCTCCCGTGTCGTTCTCCTGCAGTACAACCTGTTTCTCATCCATGTCTTCGTCGCAATCCAATTGTATAAGTAATGGCTTCTCGTTATCGCCGATACGCTTAAGTACTGTGAGTTCGCTGTTCACCGGGTCCTGCGATCGCAGGTAAAGCGCAAACTTCTGCGGATTGTCCACAACTTTGAACTTCTTTAGCATCGCTTTAATCACATGAAGACTAGTGTTTTCGCTCGTGATATGTATATTCTTGACGGTGTCCCGAGGCATGTAAAACGAGGTCAATGTCCGCCGTTTAATCAGCGTTCCGTTGGTCTCCTCTTCGTTAATGATGTCGTATATAGAGGGCGGCCGACGACCAGAGATCACATTAATGGGTCGACTCAGGTTGAGGTGCACGCGAAGAAAGCCCCGAAATGACTGTTTCGACTCGTCTATGATTGTGATGCCCAGACCCGAACCCTTTGCCCGACGTTTTTCATTGTATTTATGTATTTTCGAGGCCAACGTCTCGGCGAACAGCGGCGACGACGACCGCGACATCTCCCGCAAGAGATACGGCTTTTCGCACACACCCTGACAGTCGAGTCGAACCAATTCGCGACACCGCGGATGACATATGTATTTGCATCGCGAGCACCGAAGATATTTGCCGTAATTGTGTTGCGCCAGAGTGTGGCCCGAGTTGTGATTACTGGTCACCGATGACCACATGAATTCGCCGCAAGAGTCGCACCAATTGGCAGATAAGGTCTCAATCAACTGCAACAACAGGTGTCGGAGAACAACAATCGTTAAATCAATGGCTAAAATCTACTTAAGCCTAGTTTTAGTTATGAATGCAAACAAAGTGATGATTACCTGGAAGTCGTGTCCGACACCACTCTCTTTGTGGTCGATCTCAACGATACCGAAATTCGCTAATTCTATGAATTCCAGTGATTTGGCGGTCGCTATAAGAGTGCCGTTCAAGAAGTGAGCGACTGGTCGATCGGCACTCGTGTCGTCTTCGGCCGCAACCATCGACTTAATGGTCTTCTGAGCGATGGTTTGGTCGACACTATGTTTACTACTATTCCTCCGACGGAACGGATTTGTGGACAAAAAGTTTTGAAATATATTGGTTGGACTGAAATCGTTGATCCATTGCAACGAATTCATTATCGTTTGACTCAAATGTCTTAAGTCGGAGCCGACCGCTGGTGTCGGCGATGGCGTCGATGTGGAGGCAGAAGAGGAAGGCCTGTCGATGTGGTGATGGGATGTGTTGGCTAAGGGATGCATACCATCGCTCACACATGTGGTCGACGTCTGCGGAGGCGGTGAAGGAGTATGACTGACACCACCGCCGCTGGAAGTGTCGCTCATCTCGTCGTTTGTATCACTCATTTGTGCCGAAGATGTCATGAATTCAATGATATATATCTACCAAATGATGGCAACGAAGATATGAGAGAAAAAACAAAATAAAAACTTTAATCAAAATTACAAATCATTGAACGGATTATTAAAATAGTAATGAAAAACAAAAATGAATTGCAATTCAGTAATGAATATAACATTTGAATTAATATTTACATTAAAGAGTGTCTCAAATGGTTGTGAGATAACAGCTGTCAATACAAACC